AACTGAGTACTGAGGAGGAATACCCTGTTTGAGGAATGCAGAGAGAATAAAATTCGGATGACATTTTGGGCTGTTTTAGAGAGAGAAAGAGGGTAGTTCAGAAATGGAGGCGGAATTCTAACGGAAGAGAAAACAACGGAGGAGAGAGAAAGAGTGTGTGTAGTAGGAAGTGCCGAAGTGGCTAACTGTAAGCCCCTTGACGGTTGTCCAAGGGAAGACATGGGCATTTCAAGGCCATGCCATGTCTTGGGAATATTTTGGCTTTGGTTAGACAGCCATGAGGATTGCTCAGGGGGTTGTCAGCATGCACAAGATGCTCACCGTGCACACAAGATGCTTAAAAGGATGCTCGGTGTGCACTGGGGGTGCCCAGTGGCACTTTCGTAAATATGGCGAAAAGTGAAACTTGGAGTTTTGACTCGGGATCTTTTATGGGAGGTACCTTGAGTCCATAGAAGCTGGTTGGCACAGACGGCACTCAATTTGGATGTCGGGAAAGGTCTGAAAGGCCATTATGACTCCTCAAGCATGGGTGATGTTTACTCCTGTCAGAGTGCTGGATTTCCTTAAGACTATATTAGGGGGGGTCTGTAGAGCACATCGGTTGGGCTATGGCATGGCTTGCTTAGAGGGCTTAGCCAACGTGCATGGGCACGTGTTGCATCACTCCAAGATGGTTGCACAAGTGGGGAGCATCCAAGATATTAAAGGGCAAACAAGTGGACACCGACACACGCGCTGGTGTGCAGCGGCGCGCGTGCGGGGGTGCAGGTGGGCACGCGGGCAGTCGTCCAACCTAGTGTGCGCGAGCGTCTAGCTCGGCGTACGCATGGGCGTCCAGGTGGGTTCACAGCCACGGGCGTATGAGGGTTCAAACATGGCGCGCGAAGAAGGGCACTAGTGTGTGCGCCGGCGTGCACTTTGGTGTGCACCCGAGCGCACGCACGGGCGTGCATGGCTTGGCACGCCGTGCACTCAGAGACATATATATGTGGGTGCAGATTGGTGGACTTGGCTTGGGCTAGGTTCACAAGGTTGACTCAGATGTGGCTAGAGCATAGACAACACAAAGTCATGGCTTGCGGTTACAAGAGGTGGTGGCTTAGTGGGCTCGGTCGGTTGGGGGAAGTTACTAGCACTTCCCACTCATCATGGGAAGTGGGGGAGTGCTGAGTAACCTCCCAAACATGTGGCACAATTCTGAGAGGACCAACACACAGGCGGTTCAGGGTGGTTTCCTCCACTATGTAGAATGTAACTTCTTGTGGTTATGTGGCATGAGCATAACATGCCAACAAGTCTAGCAGTTGGGCTTGTCAACTGCATTATAGTGCTGGCTCATTTAGAGGGTGCCAGCACGACCCTAGGTGGATGGGGGTGTCATCCATCATCTTAGTGGGCAGTTATGGGCGGTTTTGAGAGTGGCCTATATAATGCTAAGGTGGGCTTTGTAGAGGGGACAGAGAGGAGGGTGTGAGCCTTGGTTGTTCCTTGTACGAACTCATGTTCCTTTGTAATATGTTTAATATGAGCAAAGGTTGGGGCTTGTCCCTGTAAACTGTGTGTGCCTTCTTTACATTTCTATACTATGTGTATTGTGTTGTTGTGTTGGCTGAGACTTGGTGGCCCCAAGTGCCATTGCAGAGGCAAAAATTCGTGGTATAATTTAGCCCTGTGACACTAGCAGAGTAAGGAGACGAAGAGCGTGAGAAGGCGGTTATATAAGGATTGCTTCTCGATTGAAATTACTTTTATGCCCCTGAGTAACGAAATCGTTTCCATTTTTTCCTTTCTTCTTGCAAGCATATTGGGGCACCTTAAAATAACTGTTATAAATTCTTTATAAAGTTTTTAGCGTGAAAAAACGTGTACAAGCCAACCAATCAAATTGCTCATATTCAAATAATTCTCTACAAAATTAAAATATTTTAGAATAAAATTATGCAAATTAATTAAATGTACTTCTGAGAAAAAAAATAATAATAAATAAATAAATAAATGTGACGGTTCACTTTGATCCAAAGAAGAAAAAAATTAGGTAAAAATATCAAATTATGCATAACAGCCAATTGTGACAGTTCTAATTAATCAAAAGAAGAAAACAGATTTAGAAAATTAACTAAAGCATGTGATCTTGTTGTAAAATAATCTTGATATGGAATTTCTACCTTCTAATTCCAAATTTGTTTTGTTTTAGGTGCTCTTGTGCCTTATTATAATTATTCTAAACTTTCTTTTTCATGCCCTAAATTGTCATTGCAGTTTTTAATAATGTCATCACCAACAAAATTCATAAAATTAACCAGCTGGGACATAGGAAAATTACAAATCATAGCATAATAGCATATCTAGTGTATATGATAGATGATCGTATTAATTATTTATACGAATTTAATTTTTTTTTTACAAATATAAACTTAGAAGAAATTTTAAATGCTTTATTAATTGGTATTGATGTCGTGGAACTGTTGTGCTATTTTATTTTGTTTCTTAATTTAAAAAAGTAAAAATTGGCTCGTTGATGCATAATTACTTGGAAAATATGTAAAGAATGATGTACTATTTTGGCAGAAAGCTGGAAGCCAGCAAATGCCATTAGTAAGAGAACCAAATGAGTCAACAACGAAAACATATATAATGTGCTCGGTGCATCGGGTACATTGTAATTGTTTATGTGAGCTCGTGTGCATGTACAACATGAACGATTACGATACGTTCGTATATTTTTTCGTCATATTGATTACTTCAACCCTTTTCTCTTCTCATTTTTTCATTTTTCTTTTTTCCACTATCACATATTACAGTATATAAAATTAAAATCTAGACTTAGCTTAGCATGGAATTAACTTTTGTTTTAGTCACACTAAGTCTGAAGATGAAAAAAGGTAAGCATTAGAGTTAGGTCTAATCTATGTAGCATGGACAAGGATACGGGATACGGATACGATATGACACTGATATGTTGACACGTCAAATTTTATAAAAGTATGACACGGGTACGGTGTGGACATGGCTACATATAAATATAATTTTTTTTTATATACATCTATTTAGTAATAATATTATAAAACTTTAATTCATTTATAATTTCTCTACTAAGAATTGCTCTGAAATGAATTAGAAAATAAAATTATGTCATTATTGTAATGATTTTTATATCATATATACCAGTATTTCACTATTTTGTCATGATAGTATATATATTATTTTCAAGATAAGCGGGTAGATTTGTGTTAGAAATGTTCGAGAAGGGTCAGCGAAATGTCCGAGAAATGTCGACGTAGTGTCGGGAAGTGTTGAGGAAGTGTTCGAAATAATAAAATTAAATTTTATTTATAGACACGTGTATGAGTGTCAGATACGTATCCGAGTAATATCAGAGAAGTATTAGTGTCCGACACGAGTACGATACAAGTACGACTCGTTCGTACAAGTGTCCCTCTTCCTAACCCCAAACTATAAAATCAAATAGTGAAATCCACTTATCCACACTAACAATTCAAAGATAGAAAAGGGTGGAGCCAGCATGGGCTTGGGTGGCCCATTTCTTTTTTTAAGGTTGTATGCTTATAATTTAAAAAATAATTCTTTATTCTTTTCCTTCTTACTCTTACTCTTCTTCAAATTTATTTACATTCTCTTCAAAAGAAATTACATTTTCTTTCTTCAACCTAACTTTTTTCTCTTCAAAATTCTCACATATATATGTGTGTATATATATATATATATTAAACAAATTAATTTTTCTAGCCCTCATATATGATTTATATGTATTATGTAGTATTTTTTTTTTTTTTCTCTCATTCATTTTTTTATTCACTTATTCTTTAAATTTATTACTAAAATTTTCTGTTTTTTGTTTTCGTTGACAAATTGATAAAAAAAATAAATAAATAAACAAGTCATGAAAACACACTAATCCACTATTATTGTTTTTCTTCATATTGCACTCTTGGTGTTTTTTTTTTGGTCATGTTTATATGTCTCCCTGAATCAAATCCCTTGCTCCCCTCTAACCATAATAATGAAGTCGTTTTTTATTCACTTATTTTTTAAATTTATTACTTAGACTTTTATACACTTATGGCATGTTTGACAACAATTTTATATTTTGTATTTTTGTTGACAAATTGATAAAAAAATAAATAAGTCATCAAAACATATTAATTCGTTATTACTGTTTTTCTGCCTTTTGTCCTGTTGCATTCTTATTTACTACTATTATTATTATTATTTTCTTGTTGTCATGTTTAATTTTTCTCATGAAATTCCTTGCTCCCGCTTAATCATAATGAATTGTCTATACTCAAATTATCATTTTTTTTTTTCAAATAATAAAATAAAAAAATTGGCAAAAAACACACCAATACCTTATTTACACACTTTTTTTTATTAGATTACATAACTTTTTTGTTTTTATTTTCTTAGAGTAGTGTATCGACTTCATAATATATGTACTACTTAAATTAGGAGTGCAATTCGAAAGCAGAATCTCAAAAACTTGTTTCCTAAATCTTATTTCCTAAATCCGTGCCAACGTAGTTACGTCACGCTACCTTTAATAATGCACCAATTAATATTAATAAATAACCATAAGGCGTGTTCTTTTTATCATTCGAAATAATAATAATAATAAAAATAATAATAATAATAATAAAATCTTATCAATAAAGACAACTAATAGAGAATTCAGGTTTTTATCTATTTATTATTTTTAAAAAATAAAACTTTTTGCTTTCGCTACCTTTAATAATGCACCAATTAATATTAATAAATAACTATAAGGCGTATTCTTTTTATCATTCGAAATAATAATAATAATAATAATAATAATAAAATCTTATCAATAAAGACAACTAATAGAGAATTCAGGTTTTTTTTTTTTTTTTTTTTATTATTTTTAAAAAATAAAACTTTTTGCTTTCGTTCTTATCCCATTATCTCTACACGTGTGTATCTATATATATAAATAGTACTCCGTATAATATATTATCACACACATAGATATAGACTTTGGTAAAAACGCATTGGAGTGCCTCCAATTAGCTATTGTCATTTTCAGTATAACAAGAAGGAGATGCTTCTGCAAACCACCTCCGTCGCACTCGCATCCTCTACCCAGTTCACAACCACCATTTCCGCCACCATCACCACCATTGCCAAGTGCTATTACTTCGACAAACGCCACCCTGCAGCAACTTTGCTGCCAAAAACCCTCTTTCCATGTTTTGGAAGTGGACCCATCCCCAAAAGCCTAAAAAGATTGCTCTACTTGAATAGATTGGGATCACCCAATTTCACTCCCACAATACTACATGCTTCTTTGCTTGAAACTCCTGTTTTGTGGGCTGGCAGGCTTTGCATCTACTATGCCCTTTTGAAGGCTGGTTTAGCTGGATCCAAAGCTAATCCACTTGTCGCAGGTCTATTTCATAATGTCCTTATATATATGTGTGAATATTATTCACTCCCACAAAAATAAATGGATTATTGAAATGTGATTTCATTTTGATTCATTGTTAATATTATTCTTTTGATTCTTAGAGTTGGAAACTGGTGATGCTGTATTGGGGTTCTCTAAGTGGTTTGAGGAGTTACAAGGCAAACCAGGTTTGTGGGTTTATTGAATTTTGATGTCTTATCTTTTATTAATGCTTTTATGCGAGTCCATGGACTAATGTATTACTTGAATTGAAAAATCAAAGCAACTGAGTCTAGTTCAAGGGATGGTAAAGCTTAATATATTCTTTCAATGAAAATGTACTTACTCTATCAAATTAATTGTTTATTCCATTTGATTCTGTTAATGATAACTTTTTTTTATAATCAATAGGTCAGTAATTAACTGATTAGGACAAATCAGAGAGTAAAATTAAATTAAAAAATTGGTTAAGTCGTCATGTACTTTTGTTTACTAATCAACAATTAGGTGTTTGTTTGAAAAGGTAACATTTTAGAAAACAGGATATAGTAATAAGAACAGTGACAAAACACCAAGGGATTGGCTCAAGTGGGTAAGAACTTGGCTGTGATGCCTCATGAAGCATCAAGTCTAATGTTTGAATCTTCTTGGGTGCAAACAATTCCTTGAGGTGGGTGTGTGAGTATCATCTAGGAAAAGCAAATAAGAATAGGGACAATTTTTTGACACTTGATAATCTGAGAAGGAGAAGACTGGTCACTATCAATTGGTGTTGCATGTGCAAGAGGGATGGTGAGTCAGTTGACGATCTCCTTTTGTGTTGTCACGTTGCTTTCAATTGTTGGGCTCTTCTTTTTGTTTTTTTGGACTTCAGTGGGTCATGCCTCAGTCTTCGAGAGGGTTGATTGATGCTTGGAGAGGGTGCCTTGCGGGAACCCACGTTTGTGAATTTTGAAGGGTGGCGCCCTTATGCATTTGGTGGTGTTTATGGAAGGAGTGGAATAGAAGATGCTTTGATGGAGAGAAATGTGCTATTGGGGCATTAAAACTCTTATTGTTAGCTCTCTTTTTTGTTGGGTTTTGGGGAGGAAGTGTAAATCTATAGATGAATTTGTTGATTTTTTTGGGTTGGTTCCTTCTTGGCCTTTGGCCTTTGTGTAGCTTCGTGGATGTGTTCCCCTTTTGAACATTTTCTAATACATCTTTACTTATCAAAGTAAAAAAAAAAAAAAAAAAAAAAAAAAAAAAATAGAATAGGGACAGAGTGGAAGGAATCATCTTTCAGCCAGTACTTTTGTGCTTTTGCTTTCCAATACTCAGAAATGAAGTGAACAATCAGTGGACAATGCATAGCGTGAGGGATTTTTTGGATCAATCGTAGGATGTCTTTTTGCAAAATCATTTTTGAGCAGGACAGTTGTCTTTTTATATTGTACATAAACTTTGATTCTTTTATAGTACTATTGTTTTCTGGATAATTCAAGTCTTTGCACATGTGGGGGTGCCTTTGTTATTTTTCTTGATATCTTGTTTGAAAATGAAAAAACTCAATTGCTTGTTTGTTTAAGCAGAGAAAGAAGCAGCTGACAAAAGGAAACTAGTGAGCAAATGGCATCCTACAACAAAGGGCACACTTAGGCGGAATTATAGAATACGTTCCAAATCTCAAGGACAGTGCCTTCTTAAAGCCATTGCATCCTTACTATCAGATGATGATCACTTCAGAGATGCCACTTCCCACAAGGTAATACAACTTCAAAGAAAAAACTCTTAGGAATGATCTTCCTTCTTATTTGCTTGTTTAGATTTCTTCTGCGTTTTGTTAATTTGTATTCTGTAGTTTCTTTTAAGAATAATAATCTGAAAAATAATGTGTTATTGATTGTTACCAATCTTTTTTCATGTTTGTAGGGTTGTCAGATTAGGAGAGAAAGTGCTCATGGAGAAAGTGTGTGTTGTAACAATGTGAGAGCTCTGTTTGATGAGCTCCCAACTCCACACTTGGTTGTGGAAATCACACCTTTCCCTGCTGGTCCTCTCACTGACAAGGATTACGCCAAGGCTGAGAAACTAGAAAGGGTACTCAGGTCTGCTCCTTCTGTTTGAAGCTTCTTTGGTATCTCACACCTCTTTTGTACGTATCCATCTAATGTATCACATGTACATATTATTACCATGAAAAGAAGCTACTGATGCCGTCAGTCACTTTAAACGGTCTTAACTCAATCTGCTGATTACCTTTTGAGGGGGATGTGGTTATTATCTTTCAATGTCAGAAATACAAAGTTTAATGGGTTTAAGTGGACTGAAGGTTCAGTTCATGGTTTTTCTGGAAGCTTGAGTTAGCATGCATATTTTATTTATGTCGTGTTCATATAACCTGTATTCAAGTGGGCTTGGGTTGTTAGATTTGACAAAACAACCCAAAACTTAAGGTGGAATGTCACATGGGTAACATTTCATGTTATTTATTTTTTTACCTATACACGTTGTTGGTATCAGGCACCCATCCTTTGCCACAGCAGCACCTATCTTTCATGGGTAGCACCACTATTGAGCATCATCACTCATATCTATTTATGGTGATTTTGAAATCCTAGAGAATAGCTTTCAAATGGAATACACCCATGGTAATAATTTACTGACAATGACTTCACTATGCACATTATTGCATGTGGTGCTTCAAGATGACCCTAACCTCGACCTCCAAGATCTCTGTCCAATTGGGTCCCAACCCTCTGAAGTCATTTATTATTGTGAGTATCTCCTCTCCTGAGAAGAAGGTTTGCTGTTGGCATAGCCTCCAGCCCAAAACAATTGTCCCTCTTTTCTCTTTGACATGTCCCAATATAAATGTTCCTTTTGAAAAGTGATGTAAAAATATCAAAACTTCCTATGGTATCCTTAAATTTTGAAAACTTCTCCAAATTAACCATGTAAATCCTTAAACCTTTTAGGGATGGTTTTTGAATTTCGGAGACTGACAATGAAATGTGTGTTGACCTAAAGAGATAGAATCCCCAAAAGGAGTATTTAATATGGGACTGAGGTAGTATATATCAAGGACCTCTTCTCCCCTCTTTGTATAGACGTTGCTGCTAGGACCTCTTCTCCTCTCTTTGTATAGACCTTGCTGCTAGGACCTATACTTATATAAGTTCTGCTTAAAGACAACTGTGAAAACCTCCTCTTTGGATTAACCTTGCTGTCAGAGTTTCTTCTTCACAAATAAGCCCCACTTGAAGACTCAATGCCCATGGCCAAAACCGCTTCTCCATAAATTAGCAATGCCATAAAGACTTGAAGACTAGAAGATCCTTGATGCACCTTGTAAACTGCTTGAGTTGGAAGCAAGATTCACAGGTGTTCCATAACTTGGTGTCCGACAATTTGCCATGTGAGGTTCACAAACAATAGTCCTCTGGGATCTTAGGAGGTATTTGGTTTAGTGGCCGAGGTTTAGGCTATGTTGAGGTGACCCTCCTTGACCCTTTCTCGGGCTCCTTCTTGAGACCTCTCCTTGAGGTTCACCATGGCCTAAGTGAGAGAGTAAGCCACTTGGACTCCCATGTGACATAACCTCCCTTAGAGGTTTGACCTTTCTGTAAAGTTTTGTGCAATCAGAATAGAAGAGAAAAGTATGTGTCTGTCGTATTACAGAATAATTGGTTACGAAGAAGAGACTGAAGTAAAAAAAGAAATAACCCTAACTAAAATAAAGGAAGAGACAAAGGTACCCTTGCTAACATGAAATATAAATAAAAATATAAAACTTGCTAACACTTTCAACATTATCATGTCATATTTAATTGCCCCAATTTATCACATTAAATTATCACCTCACCAACATAATCGCAGTCCACATTATGTCATTGTAATGTTTCCATTAAGTATTACTAGTCACATGGTGTTGTCTCATCAATCCAAAAGAAAAACATGTTTCATGATTAGGATTTTTTTCTCACAATAACCCAGACGCCAGATATCCCCACCCTTGATTATAAATTAGCTTCTAACTTATGTTCTCATTCCTAAGTCCTAACATGTGCAGGGATCCTCATAATATGTTCTATTTTGTTTATACCAGTAGAAGTACGTAAGCTAAATGTGAATTTTTTACAAGCATGCCAATGGGCATTAACCTGAATGGTATGTTCTCTCCTCCCCGTATGGGTGGTTGAGTGTTCATGCCCTACTAGGGGCAATATTACAAAACACCATCAATGGTCATACTGGCTAACTCTGAAACTTCCCACCATACAAACCTAGCAACATCTAATGAATCTCTTGATTTTTGGTGATGCATCCTGCTGTTCTTCTCACACCAAATCTGCCAAATAACAGTTGCAAAGATCCTTCTCTGAGCCTTCTGTGTAATCTTCTTCTCAACAGACCACTGCACCAGCTGAGTAAGAGAGCCCTTTGTTACATGGGCTCTTCAAAAGTAGTGAAGTACCCGTGTCGGACATGGGTATGGGATATTTGTTCAGCACTTTTGGTTGGACATGTACTTAAAAAGCATATCCAATCATTCAATTACATTATAGTATTACTTTAAAATGAGTAAATGCCTATATTGAATATTATATTAGATAAAGATATTATTTTACTCTAGAAAATAAAATAAAATAATTAATAAAATGAATATTTAGTCTAGTTCGTGTGTCCTTTTGGTTGAAGATTTGACACGTCCGACACATGGATACGTACCCGTGTCCAACACCCATACCCGAGTCCATGTAACATAGTAGTGAGAGCCACATTGATGCATATTCCAACCCAATAGATTAGAAAACCAATTTCATATGGTCACAACAAATATGCATGAAACAAAATGATGATCCAAGTCATCACAAGCAGACGAGCAGTTTTAAATTCTTTTTATCTCCAAATTTTATGGTTTCTAAGCATAATAAATTTTCATCCCTTTTTCATTTCATATGAGTGATGTGTGTTTAGGTTTGTTAAAATGGGAGGGGGTATTTTTCTGGACAATGATGCTTGCCTCTCACTTTGTCTGTACATATATGAACACTAGATACCATGTCCATCTAACATACTACAAATTTTTATTGCCAATAACATGCTAGATTCTGTTTGGGCTGTGCTTTTGTTGTTACCGTGTATGTTTAATAAGTTGCTGGTTATGGAAGAGTCCTAACTTTCAGTCATATAATATTTAACTTTTAAAAATTATTTCTAATAGCTTCATTCCATGTTAATTTCTGTTGCTTTATCTTTCTCCTAACTTCTATGCAAATCGGTCTTCCTCCTTTTACCGGTGCATTTATAGGTCTTATTTAAATATGTTTATTCCATTTAAGTCTATTTTATCTAATTTTACCGTTAATAAGCAACACTCCTAATTTCTCACTCACATATTAATTAGTTACCGTATCTCTTTTGGTTACTCCTATCATGCATCTTAACATCCCTCATTTTTGCTACGTGAATTCGTTGTTTATTTTTCTTTTTTAAACTCGACACTCTGCACCATATAAAATAGTTGGCCTAATTACTATTTGATGAATTTTTTCTTATAATTTATTTGTTACTCTTTTATCGCATTAAACAGCGCTAGTCTGCCTCCATTTTGTCCAGCCTGCTCCAATTTTTCTAACTATATCACCTTCTATCTCCCCATTCTTTTGTATTATTGATCCTAAATATTTATGATGGTTATTTTGGATAATCCTTTGGCTTTGAAGTTTGATCATTATAGTATCAATATCCAACTGATTGCTAAACTTTTATTCCATATATATTCTGTTTGGTAAGAGAAGGAATTTTTTAGTGTTTTTCCTTTAATAACTAAGCTTTCATAAAGAATTGTTGACCGAGGTTTTTATTTCTATTTCTTTGAATGGTTTGAGGTATTTCGCACCCATTGCCCAACTTGTCTGATAACTTGAATTGGTTTTAGATTGGGATGAAAATGTGTGTTAGAAAGGTGAGATTTTATCGTGTTATGAACGCCTAAAACAGTATGTGGTTGAGTTCCGAGATGGAAAAGATTTCAAAGATGGTCAATAAGGTTGCACTGAGTGAATTCAATCACAACTTAGAAAGAGATGGATTCCGAGGCACTGTTTTGTCACAGTCTCTGCTTATAACTGCAAGGTACTGCCAAAATGCTGTATTCCGAGGCACTGTTTTGTGCTTCTGGTGCAAGTGACAATGATTATGGTGGTAGTGGCAGCATAGTGGTTGCATCGATGAGCAGAATGCAGCGTGGTTGTCGTTGTGATTGTGTCGGAGATAGTCACCTGGAGCAGTGGTGGTGAGGAGAGGATATATGTTGTAGGAACAACTGGTTAAAGTGGAGATGGTGTTGGGGGTGGTAAATGCAGTTCAGTCTTTGTGTTTGCTGGTCTTGTTATTAGCCCTGACATGTTCAGCATGATTGATAGTCAATTAGTTTTGCATAAATACTGCACCCCTGCAATGTGTGCAATGTTTGATGTTGCGTTCTGAATTTGGTGCTGGCTCGTAACCCGACAACCCGTTGGATGAGATTTGTGTGGCTCAAGGGAATTTTTTTTCTGTTTGTAGGTCGTGGACCATAATTAGTACTCTCGTGTTTAGGGTTTGGAGTTGGAAGAGGGAGACACTGAAAATCACACAAAATAGAGAATGAGGGGTTGAAACTTGTAATTTTCGATTTTACACTGAAGACTTTCGCTGGATCTCCACCGCGAAAGTAGGCTTTACTGAACTACGTTTTTTTTTATTATTATTATTTTTTATTATTATTATTATTATTTTTTTCTTCTTCGGTGTGTTTACTTTTCGTAATTATTGCTTGAATTTACTGCGTTTGTCGAGTTTGACTTAAGCCACTTCTTGGATTAAGTATACTAGGAAGTGCCACATCGTTCCAGATCATTTTAATTCTTTATGCATACCAAGTTGACTAAATATTGTTCACATTTCTTACAGTACCTTGGAGGCTTTAAATTATGTACTTTGCCATATATTAAGACATGAGCCAACATTGGACCCATCCAAGTTGTTTTGTCTCAGTATGTGTAACAGGGTTGGAACATAATTTAATTGATATTTATCACGCACACAATTGAAAGGAATCCAAGGAAGTATTTGAGTTTTTTCTTTGCTCACTTTGGGCCTGTTTAATATGTTAGCTAGGTATTTTATTTTTGGCGTTTTTGTTGTAGTAATGAGCAATGAAAAAAAAAAAAAAAAAACTAAAAAATTTTTAAATGACATTCCTAATCATTATGTTTTGTAAACTTGTAACATTTTTTTACCAAGTATGTTTTTATGTTTTTGCTTTCAAAAATCTTATAATAAATAGACATTACTACAAACATGCTT